AGCTCGGCAGCCAGGTGTTTACTGTCACAGATCCCTCGTGCTCTCTGAAACAAAGATTTACCCACGGTAGCTAACTGTGAAGGATGGTGGTGAGAATCACCGTTTAAATATCTATCTGTATGGGTCTTTTTTCTATACACAGTATGGCTCAAGGTGTTATCAGGATTCCGATCTAGATGTGTTAATAATTCGAATTAAAATTCAATGCATACGGCGAGACTTACGCAACTTTAATACTTCTCGTATTAAAGAAGCGATCGAGCGGAACCAGGGCTCCAAAGTCTTTGCCAGAGATCTGTCTGCCAGAAAGAGCCAACTGTCAAGGCTGAAGACTGAGTGTGGCAACATCGTTTCCGAGACACCTGAGATTTTGAGTGAGATTGAGAGGTTCTATGGGCAGCTGTACACATCATCGTTGGAGCCACACGCAAGTGTGAGTAACGATCCAAGAGCAAGTCTTATCCGACACTATTCCGATGATATCCCGGACGTCAGTCTAAGCGAGATTAGAATGGCTCTCCAGCACCTTAAAAACGGCAGGGCCCCAGGCGAGGATGGAATTACAGCGGAGCTTCTGAAAGCGGGTGGAACACCGGTACTTGAAGTCCTTCAGAAGCTTTTCAATTCCGTCCTCCATGGTGGCACTACTCCAGAGGCGTGGAGCAGAAGTGCGGTGGTCTTGTTCTTTAAGAAAAGCGACAACGCTCTCTTAAAGAACTACAGACCGATTTCCCTTCTGAGCCGCGTCTACGTGCTGTTTTCGAGAGTCATTACGAATCGTCTCGCACGCAGACTTGACGACTTCCAGCCTCCCGAACAAGCCGGTTTCCGAAAAGGCTTCAGTACCATAGACCACATACATACCCTGCGGCAGATTGTACAGAAGACTGAAGAGTACAATCTGCCACTTTGCCTGGCGTATGTGGACTATGAGAAAGCCTTTGATTCCGTCGAAATTTGGGCGGCGCTACAGTCCCTTCAGCGGTGCCAAGTTGACTGTCGGTATATCGAAGTGCTGAAGTGTTTGTACAGTAGGGCTACGATGGCTATCCGAGTACAGAACCAGAGCTCGAAACCTATCCAACTGCAGAGAGGTGTAAGACAGGGTGACGTTATATCCCCGAAACTCTTCACCGCTGCATTGGAAGACGTTTTCAAGCTACTGGACTGGAAAGGATACGGTATTGACATCAATGGCGAGTACATCACTCACCTTCGATTTGCCGACGATATAGTCCTTATGGCAGAATCGCTGGAGGACTTAAGCACTATGCTCAATGACCTCAATAGTGCCTCCCAACGGATAGGTCTTAAGATGAACATGGACAAAACAAAGATCATGTTCAATGTCCATGTCACACCTATGCCGGTAGTTGTTGGGAGAACTATGCTCGAAGTTGTTGACGAATACGTTTACCTGGGACAAATAGTCCGACTAGGTAAGTCCAACTTCGACCGAGAGGTCAATCGACGGATTCAACTCGGCTGGGCAGCGTTCGGGAAATTACGGCATATCTTTTCGTCAGGTATACCTCAATCTCTAAAAACTAGATTGTACAACCAGTGCGTGTTGCCAGTGATGACTTACGGATCTGAGACGTGGTCCTTCACTGCTGGCCGTATGAGGACGCTTAAGGTCGCTCAACGAGCTATGGAGAGGGCTATGCTCGGAGTTTCTCTGCGTGATAGACTCAGAAATGAGGATATCCGCAGTAAAACCAGAGTGACCGACATAGCCCAACGGATTAGTAAGCTGAAGTGGCAATGGGCCGGCCATATAGCTCGAAGAACCGATAACCGATGGGGAAGAAAGGTTCTCGAGTGGCAGCCTCGTACCGGTAGGCGTAGTGTAGGGCGACCCCCACTAGATGGAGTGACGACCTGGTAAGACATGCAGGAAGTCGATGGATGCAGGTGGCTCAGGACCGTGCTTTGTGGCATTACTTGGGGGAGGCCTATGTTCAGCAGTGGACTTGTGAAGGGCTGTAATGATGATGATGATGATGATCACGCACGAATCGCAATATAACTTTTGATAACTGGTTCGCCAGTTACGAATTGACGATGCGTTTACTTAATGAGCACTGGCTAACTTCGACTGGAAATGTGAGAAAAAACAAAAGATATATTTCGGCTGCATTTTTGAAAACCACCAAGCTCCAGGAAGTTCCATGTTTGGTAGTCAAAAGCATGTTTCTATGGTGACTAATCCTAAAAAAATAAATGAAGTGATCGTAGTATTGTCAAGCCTATATCATGACAAAATTGATAGCGCTACAGAAGGCCAGAAAAAGCTAGAAATGATAACATTCTACAATTCAACTAAAGTTGGTGTAGATGTTGTTGACGAACTATGTGGTAGTTACAATATGTCGCGTAATAGCAAGCGTTGGTACACAACATTTATTACGAGATGTTGTATATAGCTGCTGTCAATGCAAACTATATCTTTCATAAAAATCAGGACAAAGATACTAAACGAACCGGTGTCATCCGTAACGGCTTGGCTTTAGTTTACGAATACCTGAAGTTGCGAAAAGACTAAAAAATATCTCGATATATACACTATTGAGACAATATAATTTCTTGACAAATGAACCACTTTCATTTACTCAAAATGTTCCTGGTCGTTATATAAGATGTGGAGATTGCTCATAAAAAAAGGATCGGAAGACAAAATACGCTTGTGAAAGCTGTGGAAAGGATAGGTATGGAGCATGCAACTTTTTTTGCGAATACTGCACTGATTTGAACTCCAATTCTTAAAATGCCAATAAGATTTTTTTAGCATACTCATATATAGTTATTTAAATCATGGTTCATCATTAAGTTTCTTTTTATAACATTTGTTTTTTTTTAATTCCTTTGTAATTTATTTGAGTGTGAAAATTTCATACTGATATGTTTTTAGTTAAGTAAAATAAAAATTGTTAAAAAGGCGCAAATATTTTATTTCCAATACGTTATAATAAAGGCTTATCATAATAAAAAGTAAATAAAATAATGTTTTTTCTTAATAAAAATAATAAAAGTTTCAGAGCCATTTTGTTTACGGAGATGTCACACCCTGCCACAAACCCCTTGCTACATTTTTTCACCACACTCTCGCTGTGATAAATAACTAAATACGATAGTCTCAAGATTTTTTTTTATCTTTTTTTGTACTATAGATTTATAATCTAAAAAATATATCTCTATTTTTATCTAAATCTTTTAAAGTTAATATTTTGAAGTCTTACCTTAAAAATATTATACTTATTAGTGCAAATAATGTAAGAATGGTTCCTTTTAACTAAATTGTTTTTATTCTGTTTTATCTTTTATACTTATCAAGAAAATGTTTGCTTTTAAATATTGATTTCCTCTTTGAATTTCAATCAACCGGTCCAATTAAGACTAACTATTTCTTTCTAATTATAGAATCCAGAGGGAACTGGTTTGACAAACGGCAAAATTAAATGACGTTTTTAGAACGGAAATCGAGCATTTAATTTCATTCCTTTCTTTGTTGTGTAGGCAAGTCTATGGATTCTGTATAAACATTCAAGGTAATAATCGACATTAATGTTAATATATAGTTGAGTCAATCTCTAGCGTACGTGTAAAATATTTTGCTTAATACTGAATTCACCAAATTCATACAAATTATCAAAAACGTAACGTTTTTCTTTGCAAAACATCAAAATAATAAAGTTATTGAAAATATTCTTAATTTTATAAACACTATATTACATACATTTCAACCAAAAAACCGTGAAATTACAACTATCAGGATTATTTTTGTTAATGACACCACAGTCACTCACAGAACATGTTACTACTTTGAAAAACAATTAATAACAAAACTTACTAATATAAAATTATAAATGACTATAATACTCCAAAAGAAATACAAAATATCTAGAAGCTATTTCTTGTGTGCCGAATTGTGCCAACCTATCATTCAAAATCGGTTACCGTCATGAGATTTGCTATCTTTTACTATCTTGCGTTTTTGGCATAAGGAATTTTACTGTCCCTTGTACACTGTGTCCGTCTATATAATAATAATAGTAATAATGGCGAATGGAAGGAATGGCGTAGGGAATTGACAACCCCATCGCCCGCTGACGTAACAGTTAAGTGACAAAACTGCTACGTCAACGCAGTCAGTCAGCGCCTTGCGAGAGGTGTGAGCGCCGTGCCTCGGCAGAATTCAGGGTGCAAAGGCCCGTTTGTGCTTATGGCCGTCCACGATACGGTGCCGGGCCTGGGCGTCTCTCGTTAATGGACGCCCATATTATGGATGATGGAGAAAAAGATAGTGCGCAAAGGGCCGCTGCCTGGAGGTCGCCAGGGCGCGTCTGGAGCTGGCGCTGGACGCGACAGCATGCGGGCCGCCAGCCGAGCGCGGGGTGTTGCAAGACCACCTAGCAGCCCCCCGCATCCATCATCCCCACCAGAAGGCTTGGTGTCGGCTGGGTCTTCTCGGACTCAGCAAGCGGCACCCACCGCTGGTGGAGCACGTCGCATGCGTTGGTCTAAATCAATGAATGAAAACGCACTGCGGGCGTATTTTAGGGCAAAAGGGGAAGAAACTGGATGTTTGGCGTATGGGGCTCGGATGCATTGCTTTTTTGCAGAGCTGGAGCCATCTCTATCCGTCACTGAGCAAAACCTGGCAGACCGAGTTAGGTACATCCTGCGCTCCAACATATTTGGTGACGCCGAACTCGAGCGACTACGACGTGAGGCCATTCCTTCATCGAATGGAAATGCTACGGCTGGGAATGCGGCGCCACTAGATGCGCAACAAACTGCATATGTGGTTGCTGCCGTCAACATTCCATTTGTGGCTAATTCAGACGATGATGGAATAGTCTCCCACGAACTAGAGAAAATGAGGAGCATATGGAAGAGTCGATGCTGGAAACGCGCAGCATCCTCTCAAAAATCGACCGCGACTTCCCCGCATACCCCTTAGCAAGCGAAATCGGGCTGTCGTGCGGGCTCTTAACCCAATGCTGGTGACCTATTTGGAAGCCAGCCGGGAACTTTGCGAGACGGATTCAATTCTTTTTGGCGCCGCACTGGCAGTATGCCGTATTATTGGCGCCAAACTTCCCGTGGCTGGACGTGCTACTCAAAAAAGTAGCGCTATCCCAGCCTGGAGAAAAAGAATTGAGGACCGTATCGCAAAGGCAAGGGCCCTTATCGGCAGACTGACAAGCTTCAGGTTGGGTAATAATAGACCGAGGATTATGCGCACCGTTAGGATGGCGTTTGCTGGGACTACTATCAGTTTGTTCCAGCCGGATATCACGCAAAAACTAACGGAGCTCATAGATGACCTGAAGCAAAAAATCGCTGCTTGGGGGAAGCGGATTCGACGATTTAGCGAGAGGTCAAGGCGGTTCAACCAGAATCGTCTCTTCCAGAGTGATCAGAAGAGGCTCTATAAATCATTGGAGCGACCAGAGGTATGTGGAGCGGGCCCAGGACCGGATCAGGCTGACACTGTCGCATTTTGGCGTGGCCTGTGGTCAGAGCCCGTAAACCACAGCGAGGGCCCTTGGATGGAAGTTGTGGCGAGCCAGAGTGCAAGTGTTACGCCTATGGACCCCGTCACCATAACGCCTGAAAACGTGGCTGAGGCGGTCCGTAGGGCCCCGAACTGGAAAAGTCCGGGAGTCGACGGGCTGCATCATTACTGGCTGAAGGGTTTCGTGGTGTGTCACGCTGTGCTCGCCCGACAGTTTCAAGAGGCTCTCGATCAGAAGTCGCTCCCGAGCCTCTTCACTACTGGGATTACTCATTTGGTTCCTAAAGATCAGGATACCAGAGACCCGAGCAAATACCGCCCCATCACGTGTCTACCCACCATATATAAGACACTGACATCCATTTTGAGCGCGAGAATCACTCGTCACCTGGAGCTACATCAAGTGATGTCACGCGCTCAAAATGGATGCCGGGGCGGTGGTCGTGGAACCAAGGAACCACTCCTCATTGACGCGGTCATTGGCAAAGTGGTGAAACGCAACCGTCGGAATTTCTCCGCCGCCTGGATAGACTACAGAAAGGCATTCGATCTCGGTGCCCCATACATGGCTAAAGAGAGTCCTCCAGCTGTACAAAATTGACTGTACAGTTGGAGACTTCCTCGAGCAGTGTATGGGGCAATGGAGTACGATCCACATAAGGATTAGAAGGGGTATCTTCCAGGGCGATTGTCTGAGTCCAATCTGGTTTTGCCTCTCCCTGAACCCTCTCAGTACTTTACTGGAGGGCTCCGGGAGGGGATTTCAGCTTCGGAAAGGAGGTACAAAAGTGACCCACCTTTTCTATATGGATGACCTCAAGTTATTCGCCTCCAGTCGCTCCCATCTTATGGAATTGCTAAACATCACTTGTGAATTTAGCAATTCTATTGGAATGGAGCTGGGAACGGATAAGTGTGCGGTCCTCCATGTTGAAAGGGGGGAGGGTTGCTAACTCTGAGGGCATAGACTTATCTATGCCCGTCAACTTAAGGACCCTTTCCGAGGCTGAAACATACCGATACCTGGGTATGTCACAGAACATCGGTATCGATGAGGCTGGTATGAAACAGTCAGTTTGCGACGTGTTTTATGCACGCTTGACCAAAGTGCTTAACAGCCTTTTGTCAGGTGTGAATAAGGCACACGCATATAACGGCTGGGTCATGCCTGTCCTCATGTATACCTTTGGCATACTCAGGTGGACTCAGACTGAACTTAACGCCCTGGATAGAAAAGTCCGCATTACCATAACGTCCCACAGGATGCATCATCCGAGATCGTCGGTAATGAGGCTGTACTTGCCGCGAAAGCACGGTGGGCGTGGCTTCTTGAGCGCGCTCACCATGCATAATCGCGAAGTGTGCAGCCTCCGTAATTACTTCCTGGCGAGATCGGATGATCCATTCTATAAGGACGTCATTTCTAGTGATAAAGGACTTACCCCTCTATCCTTAGCCAACGAGCAATGGCAAGACCCGGCAGTGCAGACAGTTTCCGACGGGAAGAACGTATGGAAGGAGAAGGAGCTCCACGGGAGGTTCTACAAGGCTCTACATGAGCCTTTTGTAGACACAGTAGCCTCCCTCCACTGGCTACGTTTCGGTGACCTCTTCGGGGAAACCGAGGGTTTTGTCTGTGCAATACAGGATCAGGTTATTAAGACCAACAACTATCACTTCAGCACTTCGATATACCGACAGTCAACTTGGCACCTTTGAAGGGACTGTAGCACCGCCCAAATTTCGCCGGAATCAAAGGCTTTCTCATAGTCCACATACGCCAGGCAAAGTGGCAGATTGTACTCTTTAGTCTTCTGTACAATCTGCCGCAGGGTATGTATGTGGTCTATGGTACCGAAGCCTTTTCGGAAACCGGCTTGTTTGGGTGGCTGGAAGTCGTCGAGTCTGCGTGCGAGACGATTCGTAATGACTCTCGAAAATAGCACGTAGACGCGGCTCAGAAGAGAAAGCGGTCTGTAGTTCTTCAAGAGAGCGTTGTCGCCTTTCTTAAAGAACAAGACCACCGCACTTCTACTCCACGCCTCCGGAGTAGTGCCACCATGGAGGACGGAATTGAAGAGCTTCTGAAGGACTTCAAGTACCGGTGTTCCACCCGCTTTCAGAAGCTCCGCTGTGATTCCATCCTCGCCTGGGGTCCTGGCGTTTTTAAGGTGCTGGAAAACCATTCTAATCTCGCTCAGACTGACCTCCGGGATATCATCGGAATAGTGTCGGGTAAGACTTGCTCTTGTATCGTTACCCACACTTGCGTGTGGCTCCAACGATGATGTGTACAGCTGCCCATAGAACCTCTCAATCTCACTCAAAATCTAAAGGATGGCACCGTGGACATCTGTCGAGCTTGTCGCCATCCCGGTGGGTCACTTAGGCATGTCATCTCCGGTTGTTCGGCGCTTTCTAACTCTGAGTACTTGCACAGGCACAACCTAGTAGCCAGAATTCTTCACCAGGAGCCCGCTCTGAAATACGGTCTCGTGGATCGGAAATTGCCGTATTACAAGTACTTGCCGGAAGCCGTGCTCGAAAATAATCGCGCCAGGCTCTATCGGGACCGGGCCATCATCACAGACAGGACTATTCTTGCGAATAAGCCTGATATTGTGCTGATGGACCGGGCACAGTCAAGGATATTTTTGGTCGACATTACCATTCCGTATGACGAGAACCTCGTGAAAGTCGAAACAGACAAGCAAACAAAATATCTGGACCTGGCTCACGAGGTGACCGACATGTGGGGTGGTCTGCCTACCGAAATTATTGCTGTAGTCGTCTCTGCAAACGGGCTAATCCCAGTTAGACTCTCGGGTCATCTGAGTCGACTGGGACTACGTGACGGACCGCTCCGGGCTCAAATGCAGAAGGCGGTGTTCCTCGATACCGCCCGCATCGTCCGCCGGTTTCTTTCCCTTTCCCACAAACCCTCGGCCGTTTGGTCTCCCCTGCCGAGGGCCTCCATCTGGTTGAGCTTTTATTTATTTATGTATTTTTATATTTATTTTATATTATTGATATTTATTTATATTTATCTTTTCATTTTCATTTATAATTATATATTTATAGAACCCAACCAGATGAGAAAACTATATAGATACCCCACAATAATAGTAATAATAATAATTCTCCTTCTATATACTTTTGGTGTTGCAAGGTGGCCTCAAACAGAATTGGATGACTTAGATAGACGAGTCCGTACATTAATGACTACACAAAGAATGCACCATACACGATCATCTGTCATGAGGTTGTATCTTCCAAGAAAAGATGGTGGACGGGGCTTATTAAACATTAAAAACCTGCACAACCGTGAAGTATACAACCTCAGAGACTATTTTATTAAAAAAAGACACATCACACATTCATAATGACGTAGTGATTAATGACAAATCAATAACCCCGCTTAATATGTCGGCAAAGGACTGGCAGAGGCCTCATACTATGACTATGGATGAACGCAAAAAGGTTTGGAATAAAAACATCTGCATGGTCGATTTTTTAAAGCATTGACTAATCCTTGTATAGAAATGGTTGCATCAGTACATTGGTTACAATTTGGTGACCTTTTTGCAGAAACTGAAGGTTTTATCTGTGCAATACAAGATGAAGTAATTAAAACGAACAACTACCGGAGATACATTCTGAGGGACGGCACAGTTAACGTATGTCGCGCATGTCACCACCCTGGAGAGTCCTCAGACATGTTATTTCCGGTTGTTACAACTATCAAATGGTGAGTATTTGCACAGACATAACCAAGTAGCTAGAATAATACACCAACAGCTTGCCATTAAATTTGGCTTTACTCAACAGAACGTTCCATATTATAAGTATGAACCAAAGCCAGTCCATGAAAATAGAAGTGTCACACTGTACTGGGATTGGTCAATTATCACAGACAGGTTTATAGTGGCAAATAAAACTGACATTGTGGTGATAGACCGAACTACACGCAAGGCTATAATAGTGGATATCAGTGTTCCTCATGACGAAAATCTCGTAAAAGCAGAGAATGATAAAAAAATTAAATATATCGACCTGGCTCATGAGATTGTCGCTATGTGGGACGTTGATTCTACTTTTATTGTACGAATAGTTGTTTCAGTCAATGGGCTTATTGGTAAAAATATGAATGATTATCTGTCCAAGTTAGGTTTGGGCAAATGGCTGAAGGCATTAATTCAAAAATCGGCCTTATTAAATACGGCTCGAATAGTAAGAAGGTTCCTATCTTTGGATGCCTAACTTCACCGATGGCTTAGAATTCCTCGCCGCGGTGGATAATAACCGAAATAATAATATTATTTATAAAGATTGTATTTATATTTATAATATTATAGTTTTGTGATACTATATGTGATAATAACAATAATAATAATAATACGATCCTCTGTTATCTGGGCGAGCGGATGATGGCTGCGGAGAACCATATAAGGATAAGAAGGGGTATCTTCCAGGGCGATTGTCTGAGTCCAATCTGGTTCTGCCTAAATCTGAACCCTCTCAGTACCTTACTGGAGGGCTCCGGGAGAGGATTTCAGCTACGGAAGGGAGGAACAAAAGTGACCCACCTTTTCTATATGGATGACCTCAAGTTATTCGCCTCCAGTCGCTCCCATCTTAAGGAATTGCTAAACATCACTTGTAAATTTAGCAATTCTATGGGAATAGAGTTGGGGACGGATAAGAGTGCGGTCCTTCATGTTGAAAGGGTAAGGATTGCTAACTCTGAGGGCATAGATTTATCTATGGCCGTCAACTTAAGGACCCTTTCCGAGACTGAAACATACCGATACCTGGGTATGTCACAGAACATCGGTATCGATGAGGCTGGTATGAAACAGTCAGTTTGCTACGCGTTTTATGCACGCTTGACCAAAGTGCTTAACAGCCTTTTGTCCGGTGTGAATAAGACACACGCATTTAACGGTTGGGTCATGCCTGTCCTCATATATACCTTATACTCAGGTGGACTCAGACCGAACTTAACGCCCTGGAAAGAAAAGTCCGCACTACCATGATGTCCCATAGGATGCATCATCCGAGATCGTCGGTAATAAGGCTGTACTTGCCGCGAAAGCATGGTGGGCGTGGTTTTCTGAGCGCGCTCACCATGCATAATCGCGAAGTTTGCAGCTTCCGTCATTACTTTCTGGTGAGATCGGATGATCCATTCTATAATGACGTCATTTCTAGCGATAAAGGGCTTACCCCTCTATCCTTAACACACGAGCAATGGCAGGACCCAGCAGTGCTTAGCATTTCCGAACGGGAGACCGTATGGAAGGAGAAGGAGCTCCACGGGAGGTACTACAGGGCTCTCCATGAGCCCTTCGTAGATATAGTCGCCTCCCTCAACTGGCTACGTTTCGGTGACCTCTTCGGGGAAACCGAGGGTTTTGTCTGTGCAATACGGGATCAGGTTATTAAGACCAACAACTATCGGAGATACATCCTAAAAAATGGCACTGTCGACGTCTGTCGAGCTTGTCGCCATCCTGGTGAGTCACTTAGGCATGTCGTCTTCGGTTGTTTGGCGCTTTCTAACTCTGAGTACTTGCACAGGCACAAACTAGTAGCCAGAATTCTACACCAGGAGCTCGCTCTGAAATATGGTCTCGTGGACCGGAAATTACCGTATTACAAGTACTTGCCGGAAACCGTGCTCGAAAATGACCGCGCCAGGCTCTACTGGGACCGGGCCATCATCACAGACAGCACTATTCTTGCGAATAAGCCTGATATTGTGCTGATGGACCGGGCACAGTCAAGGATATTTTTGGTCGATATTACCATCCCGTATGACGAGAACCTCGTGAAAGCCGAAACAGATAAGCAATCAAAATATCTGGACCTGGCTCACGAGATGACCGACATGTGGGCTGGTCTGCCGACAGAAATTATTCCTGTAGTCGTCTCTGCGAATGGGCTAATCCCAGTTAGCCTCTCTGGTCATCTGAGGTGACTGGGACTCCGTGACGGACCGCTCCGGGCTCAAATGCAGAAGATGGTGCTCCTTGATACTGCCCGCATTGTCCGCCGGTTTCTTTCCCTTTCCCCCTAACCCTCGGCCGTTTGGTCTCCCCTGTCTAGGGCTTCCGTCTGGTTGGGCTTTTATTTATTTAAGTATTTTTGTATTTATTTTATTTTATTGATATTTGTGTATATTTATCTTTTCATTTTCATTTATAATTATATGTTTATGGATCCCAACCAGATGAGAAAACTATATAGATACACCCCATAATAATAATAAAAAGGCGTAGGGAAGTGACTACACCATCGCTCGTAGACGAAACAGTTAAGTGACAAAACTGCTACGTCAGTGCAGTCAGTCAGCGCCTTGCCAGGAGGTGCGAGCGCCGTGCCTCGGCAGTACTCAGGGTGCAAAGGCCCGTTTGTGCTTACGGCCGTACAATGATACAATGAAACGGTGCCGGACCTTGGCGTCTTCCGTTAATTGGCGTCCAAAAATGGATGATGGATTTTAATAGAAAGCGTATAGGGCCGCTGCCTGGGCGTCGCCGGGGCTCGTCTGGAGCTGGCGCTGGACGCGGCAGCATGCGGGCCGCCAGCCGAGCGCGAGGAGCTGCAAGATCACCTAGCAGCCTCCCGCATCCATCATTCCCACCAGACGGCTTGATGTCGGCAGGGTCCTCTCAGATTCAGCAAGCGACATCCGCCGCTAGTGGTGTGCGCCGCATGCTTTGGACAAGGGATATGAACGCAAACGCATTGCGGGCGTACTATAGGGCGAAAGGGGAAGAAACTGCAGGGATAGCGTATCGGGCTCGGATGCATTGCTTTTTTGCTGAGATGGAGCCGTCTATTCCCGTCACGAAACAAAACCTGGCAGACCGAGTTCGGTACATTATGCGCTCGAAAATATTTGATGATGCCGAACGACTACGACGTGAGGCCATTCCCTCATCGAATGAATTGGCTACGGCTGGGGACTGGGGATGCGGCTCCTCAGGCGACAGACCAGCTGCCATGCATAGAAGCCGCCATGGATCTTCCAGTTGTGGTTGATTCGGACGATGATGAAATGGTCTCCCACGAACTAGAGCAAATGAGGTGTATATTGGAAGAGACGATTTTGGAAACGCGCAGCATGCCTCTCGAAAATCGACCGCGACTTTCCCGCATACCCCTAAGCGAGCGAAATCGGGCTGTGGTGAGGGCTCTTAACCCAATGCTGGTAACCTATTTAGAAGCCAGCCGGGACCTTTGCGAGACGGACTTAGTTCTTTTTGGCGCCACAGTGGCAGCTTGCCGTATTATTGGCGCCAAACTTCCCTACTAAACAAAGTAGCGCCATCCCAGCTTGGAGAAAAAGAATTGAGGACCGTATCGCAAAGGCAAGGGCTCTTATCGGCAGAATGACAAGCTTTAGGTCGGGTAATAATAGACCGAGTGTTGTGCGCACCGTTAGAATGGCGTTTGCTGGGACAAATATCAGTTTGTCCCAGCCGGATATCACGCAGAAACTAACGAAGCGCATAGACGACCTGAAGCAAAAGATCGCTGCTTGGAGGAAGCGGATTCGCAGATTTACCGAGATGTCAAAGCGGTTCAACCAGAATCGTCTCTTCCAAAGTGATTAGAAGAGGCTCTACAAATCATTGGAGCGACCAGAGGTATGTGGAGCGGGCCCAGGGCCGGATTAGGCTAACACTGTCGCATTTTGGCGTGGCCTGTGCTCAGAGCCCGTAAACCACAACGAAGGCCCTTGGACGGAAGTTGTGGCGAGTCAGTGTGCGAGTATTACGCCCATGGAACCCGTCATTATAACGCCGGATGACGTAGCTGAGACGGTCCGTAGAGCCCCGAACTGGAAAAGTCCGGGACTCGACGGGCTGCATCACTACTGGCTGAAGGGGTTCGTGGTGTGTCACGCTGTACTCGCCCTTCAGTTTCAAGAGGCTCACATACACTTTATTACAATACACTTTATTTCAGACAAGAGTCCATAAATTGGTTAGTAACATAACATTATTATAGAATCATTGTTAGTTAAATTGCTTAAAAATCTAAGAAAAGAAAAAAATCATACATTTTAACAATATATCCTTAGTCTATGAATTAAACAAGTGACAAGTGAACTTACCGTCCCTCCGATGCTAAGTGGCATTCAAGGCAATGAGCATCTGCAATCAACTAATAGTAGGCTACAGGTGTGTTTTAATCTCTTAGGACTAAGATGTGTTGACTCAAATAGCTTCTAGTTATACTGGCTCTCCTTATCTTTTAGACCAGAATATAGCAGCCCAGGCACTAATGATTGGTTGCAAAAAAAGGTAAATACATCCCCAGATGGATTCCTAGGCTGAAAAGGAGTGCTACCAAGTAATGAAGTCATCCTCATCATCAATTCAGCAATTCACAGGTCCACTGATGAACGTAGGCCTCCCCCAGGAATGCCACAATGCATGGTTCTGTGCCACATGTATTCATCGAATTCCTGCAATTCTTGCCAAGTCGTCTCTTGATCTATGGGTTACCCTACATTTCGCTTAGAGTAAGAAGCTGCCACTCGAGAACCTTTTACCCCATTGGTTGTTGGTTTTTCGAGCTATATGTGCGACCCATTGCCACTTCAGTTTACTAAGCCGTTGGGCTATGTCGACTCCTCTGGTTCTACTGCAGATATCTTCATTTTTAAATCTATCACGCGGCTTGATGAGCGAGCTTGAGCTCCTTATACGGCCAGCAGTGAAAGACCACGTCTCAGATCTAAAAGTCATGACTGGCGACACGCACTTCTTGTACAAGCTAGTTTTTATGTTTTGAGGTATACTTGATGAGATCATGTATATAGACATAATATGCCGAATGCTATGTAAAACGTCACCCTGTTTTACACCTTTGTGTAGTTAGATGTGTTTTGTACTCTGATCCTGTACTCGCATAGACATCACAGCCCTACTTTGCAAACACTTAAGTACCTTAATATAGCAACAGTCAACTTGGTATTGCTGAAGGGACTTAATTACTGCCTAAATTTCGACGGAATCAAAGGCTTTCACACAACCGCTAGAGCTAAGCTGCAGCTATATTATGGTTGTAGCATGAATTGGTCAGCTCTTCCGAGGTAGGAATACGCTTCACATAAAAAAAGTAAAGTTACCGCCTATATACGTCCCACTGCTGGGCTCAGGCCTCCCCTCATTTCTGAGAGGGTTTAGGGCAAGGAAGTGTCCGTCGCGCTGCCCAAATGCGTGTTGACGAACTTCACATGTCTTCGAAATATTTTTTTTCTTATTCCTCAGACATGCAGGTTTCCTCACGATGTTTTCCTTCACCGCCGAGCACGTGGTAAATCAGCACTTAAAATTGCAATTAACAATTTCATTGGTGCCGGCGGGGATCGAACCCGGGTTACTAGCGTTCTGTTATATTTACAGCGAGCGTTAACCACTGAGCTACCACGGCTCTTCCGTTGGGAGACACCATAGGTCTTAAGATGAACATGGACAAAACAAAGATCATGTTTAATGTCCATGTCACACCTATGCCGGTAGTTGTTGGAAGCACTATGCTCGAAGTTGTTGACGAGTACGTTTACCTGGGACAAATAGTCCGACTAGGTAGGTCCAACTTCGACCGAGAGGTCAATCGACGTATTCAACTCGGCTGGGCAGCGTTCGGGAAATTACGACACATCTTCTCGTCAGGTATACCTCAATCTCTGAAAACTAAAGTGTACAGTGCGCGTTACCAGTGATGACTTACGGATCGAAGACGTGGTCCATCACTGCTGGCCGTATGAGGACCCTCAAGGTCGCTCAGCGAGCTATGGAGAGGGCTATGCTCGGAGTTTCTCTGCGTGATAGACTCAGAAATGAGAATATCCGCAGTAAAACAAGAGTGACCGACATAGTCCAACGGATTAGTAAGCTGAAGTGGCAATGGGCCGGCCATATAGCTCGAAGAACCGATAACCGATGGGGAAGAAAGGTTCTCGAGTGGCAGCCTCGTACCGGTAGGCGTAGTGTAGAGCGACCCCCCACTAGATGGAGTGACGACCTGGTAAGATATGCAGGAAGTCGATGTATGCAGGTGGCTCAGGACCGTGCTTTGTGGCATTGCTTGGGGGAGGCCTATGTTCAGCAGTGGACTTGCAAAGGGCTGTAATGATGATGATGACGATGATGCTCAATTGTAGTGAGCTTTATGCAAAGGAAGATATTATCATCTTTGTAAGCTAAGGTGGAATGCCTCTCAGTCCGTAATTATACTGGCTCTCTATACCCTATAGGCCGGAACACGGTAGAACAGGCATTGCTATTCGGTGCTAGAAATAGGTAATAGGGTTGTGCCTCTCCGGATCTACTCCTAGGTGAAAAAACGGTTCTAGTACCTATATAATATTTTTTATTTAAAGGTTACAAACATAATTGCCCAAAAAAAAGATTTAGACCTAGAACAATCATTTGTAGGTCATATAAATTCTAAATTCGTGTGGGATTTGAACCTGTGGGCCTTAGCACCGCAACTACAAAGACAAAGTTGCAGTCTATATAAGTCTCCACTGTTGACCTAAGGAATTCCCTTATTTCCAAGGGCGTGGGAGCGATAAGTCAGCCGCGCTGCTCCAGTACGTAGTTTGGTCTTAACATATCTTCGAAATATCTTATTCTGTATTGCAAATATTGTTATACTAATTGGTAGAGTCATGCTAAAGCATCTTAAAGCTGCTACACGAATTGGCGGTACACTAAGCACGATATTTACGAAACTCCATGATATCATTTCACTTTGTTTCAAGCATCGAGCAAGTGTAGATTTAGTAAATAATAGCTCTTTATTTGTAAATTTTTTATTATAGTTCTTTTAAATAATATTTATTAAAAGTAATTCGGTTTTGCTTTGAGTCTTCCGCGGCGACATCCATAATTGGCGCAGTCGGTGGGTACTCGAGTAGTCTCAGGGTAGTTTATTAGTGAAATCCTTATACAGCCATATCGCTACCACTGCCAAGTTTCATTAGGTATCCAAATAACCTGTAGTCCAGATCATTAGATAAATCTAGACATCGATCCCAGAGGACCTAAAATGTAATTCATGGACTTAACACTCAAAAATCATTTTTGTGTGGTGCTTTCAATTATTCCCGTGGTAATTTTTATTCGAAAAAATTTTTCATCCTAAGCAAACTAACTTTAGAGAGATGGCACATGCCAGATTACACCTGTTAACCCCTCAGTCCTCCTAAAATTCTCATGCAGTCGCATGCGACCGCTCTGGATTTGCCGGGCGCATGTGACGGCACTCACCCGCAGCATTTAAAAACATTAAAACTTTTATTTGGAGACTACTTTTCTATGAAGAAGTTTGCCATTATAAAATATATACAAAATTCTCAATACAAAAGTCAGATTTTAGTTCATTACAAAAAGAATGTTGTATTTTGATAACAAAAACAAAACATAGCAAGCGAAAGTTGGCAGCGTGAAAATCACAATTATTTCATTATATATTACTCTAAATCAATTACGTAAAAAGATAAATTATATTCACACAAAAACTTTCATTACAATTTTATAATAAAACACTATACTAAAACACTAAAAAAAAAATACGTGTGGCACTCGGTGACTGCCGCGGTAAAGCTATTGCATAGCATTTTTTATCAACTTATGCAATTATGATTATTTATTTATTTTGTTTATGCAGTTAAGTCTTTGATATTAAATCAAGTTACACTTTTTGAGCGTGGTGACCGATAAGAAAACAATTTTTTTCTCTTATTGAATAAATGAGAAGTTAATATTGTTTAAAATATTAATATCTTACAATACATGTAGGTTATTCAGGAATTTTTATCATTGAGTTAGCAGCTAGTGTACACGCATACGTCTAGTCGCACGCACACAAACACCATGCCGAACTCTGCCGAGTGCCGAAGTCTGCCGAACTGAAACGACGTTAGACGATGCACGGCTTTCAACGCCACACCTCCGTGCCCGTCGGAGTGGGGAGCGTGAGGTTTTTTCGTTACGGAATTTCTGGATTCGGTCCCCGCGCTCAAGGCCTGCGATAGAAGCTATGCAATAGCTTAACATTATTAAAATCCTAAAATCAACACAATAACATTCACGCGAAAATGGCGTACGAAATGAAAGTAGATTATAAATAAATATCCATAGCATAACTATTTTTATTGCACTAGAGCAGGGGTCAGCAACCTTTTAAGTCGGAAGAGCCAAAAATTACAATCAACAAAATTTCAAAGTTTTCAAAGAGCCACATTTGCTAACCATAAATAGTACTTGCATAAATAAAGTTTTTTGATAAAAAACT